TTTTTTCTGCACTGCGAGGCATATGGGATCTTAGTTCCCCGACCAGGGATCAAACCCGTGCCCCCTGCAGTGGAAGCACTGAGTCTTAACCACTGGACCACTAGGGAAATCCCACTGTCTATGTATTTTAGACATAGAGGATCTGAACTAATTTTTGACCATTGGCTTTGCTGCAGAAATACTACAAAACAGAGTTTCAGGGTCTTAAACAATGAAGATACAACTTCTCACTGGTGTGTGGGAGCCTGGGGAAACTGACCATTTCCTGCATGTAAAATGGCATATTATTTCAGGGAGAGCCCCAGGAGAAAATCTTAAAAGCACCTTTCAGCCAGAAGTTTCGAAGCACTTTCAGAGCATGAATACACGTATTCTTATTCATAAAACACACACACATCTATTGAGGCTGATCATTATAATCTTTTCTTAAGCATTCCTCTGTACCCACACTTGCTGATGCATTTTCTCAATGGAGTCTAGCCTTCCTTGTGGTCTCAATTTCTGGGCTGTAACTCAGTAACTCTACACTTCAGACTGTGCTTTGGCTGCCTTCAGGAACAGCAATGTCTCTGTTCAAATCCAGAGAGCATAATGAAACACTGTCTGTTAAAATATCAAACATGAGAGGTTTCCGCTAAACTAATTGGTAGGGTAAACATTTTGCCTTCGTCAAGTGGCAGGGCTCAAAGTCAGAAAAATGGAAACGGGCTGGGGTGAGCAGGCAGGTCATCTGAATGGGGCTGGACGAAAAGTTTGCTACAAACTGAAAACCTTCAGTTGGGGGCTTAAAGGAAGATACTGTTTTGGTTAGTTCCACAGTCTAGGAAGGAGAAGCAGATTAGGGCTCAAGAGACTTGAAGTCTAGACAAGATTCTTCCACTAACCAATCTTGACTCAGTTTACCATTTACTGTCAAATTATAATACTGTTGTGTATACAGACTCAAAAAAATTCTATATAAAGCTCAGTTGAGGCACTAAAATAGATATGAAAATGCAACTAAGTTTTAAAGCAGTGGTTTTCAACCAGGATAGAAGTAGAACACAATTGAGTTTACATCAGAATATTTTTACTAAAACATATGCCTCCTTCACTGCCCCTTTACCCTGGCATTAATTATAATTATCTGAAACATTATATGCCAGTGTAACCAGAAAACAACAATAGCAACAACAACAATGCAGCCACAAACTATTTATCGAGTGTACCCCCGGCACTGTACCTAGCACATTTATGTACTTTACATCACTTAATTCTCATCACAGCCTCATGCGCTGTGCGCCATCATCATTCCCCTTTCACAAATGAAAAAAGCTGAGCAAATGAGGAAGTGTGTGTAACTAACTAACTATCCCAGTTATATGGCATCACTCTGTATCCTTTAAAAATTGGGGGAAAAAATAATCACATTTTTCATTTGGGAATCCCATACCAGAACAATTATTCCAAGGCTTAATGTCCATCCCCTCCCCCTCCCCGAATCTCCTCATCTTCTTCTGTCAGTTAAAAACCACTGAGAAGTTTCCTTTACCACAACCTCTTCTTAAGATTAGGTCTGATTTTGGCTAATTTCAATGTATAGATAATTTAAATTAGTGTTTTAAAAGATACAGTAGCAGTTCACTGGAGTAGGAGTTCATAGACCCAACCTTGGCAACCCTCATCTACAGACTATGTGAGCTTCAATGGTTCACTTAATCTTCCCGAGCCTTGGGGTTTCCTCTTCTGTAACATGAGAGGGCTCAGCTAGATGGTCTATAAGCTCTTTCCCCTCCAATTAACATTATCTGTTGGCAGGTTTGTCTTCTTGATCCAGATGTTAGGAACTATTCTGTCCCTGTTGAAGGACAATATTGGTAGTAGGATGGGGCTGGTGCTAGCAAAGAGATTTCCAAGCACCCTCACGATCTTACGAAGTCATGGTTTTCATGCCTGCTTATGTATCAGTAGATCATAATAAAGCAATCAAATAGGAATGACAGAAAGATTCAATCAAAGAGTAAACTATAAAAGAATAATGTGAATTCTAGTACGTAGTTATCTAACCTCTATTATTTTCAAATTCATCTGTAAATCTAAGATAATAGTAGTGCCCACTTCTTTGGGATTTTTCAGAATAAGATAATACACCTAAGCTATGATAACATGATAGGTAAAATAAGAATAATATGTCTGTGAAATCAGTCATACCCTCTTCCCTCCACGTGCTCTGAACCAGCTGTGTGAAAGAGACAGTGGGCCATTGCTAGTGAATCTGGAATGAAAACTGATTAAACCCCAAGCCAAAACAGGTCCCCATCCACTTCTCCCAGATTCAAATGAATCAAGACGGGCAAAGCCACTAATCATCATCTGGCCTGTTTTACCACAGGAAGAAGCTCACAACATACAACTGAGACATGAACAACATGCCTTGTTCTTGACAAGAGTTGGCTGGATATAAAAAAGATCGGAGAATAGAGGTGCTCTCCGTGTTCACGGCTCCTCTGACAATCTCTTCAATGCCAATCTGATTACACGTTCTGCATTCCATGGAGAACAGTGAGTAGGCGGGGAAGAGAAAAAAC